TGACTAAGTTTCCATCGAGGGTTCAAATCGGGTCAGAGTCGGGTTAGAGTCGGGTTGGGGTCAGCGCTTGTACGGTGGAAACGCCAAAGGTTTAGTTGAACTCTACCCTACAAAATTTTAGGGTAGCGTTCAATTGGGTTCGATGGAAACGACAAGAGTCGAGTTCGTGTTGCCAACATAACAAATCCAAATTGCATTGTGTATCACGTGTTGTATTAATCGGTGTAGAAGAGGTTATTATTACTTTTTGTCGGTGATCTTGTAATCTGAGAAATAATTTTTGTATGTTATTTTGATATTGTAAAATTAATATTGCTCTCCTTTACATGTCAGAATATGGTAGTTGACTTTGTGCAGTTGGTAATGTTCAACCCTGCCGCAACTCCAACCCGCGACTCAAACCCGACTCTAACCCGACTCTGACCCGATTTGAACCCTCGATGGAAACTTAGTCACTGACGAATAGTTATGTAAAAACTTTCAAATCTGATAATTTAGTAATATAATGATATACTGAAAATATTCGTATTACATAAAAGTATAAACAGTCTAATTTTAAATTCATTTGGCAGTGTATTATAACATTAGATAGCAATTTTCTTTTATGTCAATTGGTAGAATGTTACATTGGTATGTTGTCAGTACTGGTACATGATGCGTCAAAGAGTGGCAGAGTGGGGATTCTCTGTCGAAAAGTGTTATTCCGGGACTCCGGGGGATTTACTAATCTCACTTTATTTAAGCATATGGTCGGACTATCAGTGCAATTTTGTAAGAGGTGTTCAACAGAACTACAAAGGATCCTTCAAATGTTATTGTCGTAAGTACAACAGCGTAAGTTATGCGAAATAATTTTAAATACAAAATACATAGATGAAATAACAATAAATTATATATATATTAAGAGATGGAGAATAGAATTGTTGTTATGGGTTTTTAGAGATTTTAATATATGATCGTATAATTATGTTCCGTTAGTTTTATAAATGTGCATTTTGCAGGTAAAGAGATTTATAATATTTATGTAACAGTTTCTTATTCTAATAAATAAGATGACTAACCAAAATTCTGAGGCTTCCCAGATGCCTCTTTGGGTAAATATAAACTATTATCATAATCTAATGTTTAGGATTATTTCCATCATAAAATTTAAGTGTATTATATGTATTTTTATATTATACAGTTGAAATGTGCTAAATTGCAACAACAAGAATATTATGAACTTTTGCCAGAATATACAAAATATGAAAAAAGGGAATATAAATATTTAAAGCAAAATATTGGTTTTGCACTTTTTGGCCCACCATCAGAAATAACAGGTGACAAGGATCTTGTTGATGATTCGGCTGAAACAGACGATATCCTTAATAAACTGCGTTATAAGCCCATGCTTCAGACAGTTATAGATAAAATATTTGACCAAGTGCGTAAAAATGGTGAAGGAGCAGTAGAAAAGGAATGTATTTATTTTGGAATCATCTTTAATATAACATTCTCTACTAAAAATAATTCTACTGAAAACATTTCTCCTTCAGCAATAGAAAATGAGGTAGATGATAATGAAAAACTCAAAATAGATATTCAATCAACACCTATCTTTAAGATAAAAAGAATTATAGTGAATAAGGATTCAAAGACATATAAAAATAAAAGTTGTGCATGTGAAGAATGGTATATTGATGCATGGGCTAGGTTGTACACAAGTTGGGCATATTATAAAGAAACAAATGTTTTACATCCATGCACTATGGTTATTCCAAAGGATGGATTCTATCAACCAGATCCACTTTGTGAAATGACTGAAGAATATTCAACAGTATGGTTAGAGGTTTTAGAATCACCTGCAAATTCTACAGCTGCTACTGTTGTAAATTATGCAGATAAAGCTGCTACTGTAGTAGGTGCTGCGAGTTTGGCTTTAGGTGTTGCAGCTATGTTTACACCAGCTGCACCTTTGGTAGTGGGTAAGTCAAATAACATTTCTGTATATTTGCAGGATTGTTGTGATTACTGTTTAAAATAATTTTATCGAAACTTATTTAATATGATTTGATATAATGATACGTTATTATCTTATAATTATTTTGAACAGAAAGTGCAATTTTTATCAACATCTAGATGACAGCTGGTATAAAAATAGAAATATTGTTGCTCTGTTATATTTGTATTATAGATACTGAATTTTGGAATTTTGTGCTTAGGTCCATTTAATTAAATCTGCTATTGTATACTTCGCAGACTTTAACATGTCATATGTGTATGAATATCCATAGTCTTATAGTAATGTTATATAGGTGGACACTAACAGAGATAACAAATATGTGAACAAAATTGTATTCACAATGTTTCTATTGTAGGTGCGGTGGTGACTAGTACAGTAAGTGGTGTATGGTCAACTGGTCGAGCAGTACAAAATTTGGCAGATAGAAGCAAACACAACCAAAGTATCAGTATTACGGAGAGAGAGGCCCTAGGTCCGTGGTTATCTATAGCAGGCGGTGTATTAGGTGCTACTGCAGCTAGAGGAAATATGATGTTCGTGAAAGCTATTCAGAATGGTAGTCATATAAACTCTTTTATGAAATTTGCGTATAATACAGTACTCGTAAGTAATTTAGGTGTGAATGGTTGTGGTGTAGCATACAATGCCTATTGTATGTATGAAAAGTACCAACAGGGGGATGAAATTACTATGTATGATTTACTATCTTTTGGAACACACGTTTTATTCTTTAGTAGTGCAGTTATGAAATTTCAATTTGCGGGAGACCTTATTGAATCCACTCAGGGTAAAATTTTAGATGAGTATAGAGCTTCTTTGCGTTCTAAACGCCTTCGTACCGCATTTAATCGTGCAAAGCGTAATGCCGCAGCAAACACTTCAGATGTAACAGCTCAAAATGCCGAAGTAATACGTTATATTAATAAAAAAGCAGAGTTGCAGCTACAAAATAATTCACAAAACAATTCGAACAATAGTTCAAAAAATAAATCACAGAGTACTCCAAAGAATAATTCACAAAGTAGTTCGGAAAGTAATTTAAAAAATACTTCGAAGAATAATTCTGAGAATACTTCACAGAGTACTTCAAAAAATAACTCACAAAGTAATTCGCAAAATAATTCACAAAATAATTCAAACAATAGTTCAAAAAATAATTCACAAAGCAATTCGGAAAGTAATTTAAAAAATACTTCGAAGAATAATTCTGAGAATACTTCACAGAGTACTTCAAAAAATAACTCACAAAGTAATTCGCAAAATAATTCACAAAATAATTCAAATAATAGTTCAAAAAATAATTCACAGAATACTCCAAAAAATAATTCACAAAGTAGTTCGGAAAGTAATTTAAAAAATACTTCGAAGAATAATTCTGAGAATACTTCACAGAGTACTTCAAAAAATAACTCACAAAGTAATTCGCAAAATAATTCACAAAATAATTCAAATAATAGTTCAAAAAATAATTCACAGAATACTTCAAAAAACAATTCACACAGTAGTTCGGAAAGTAATTTAAAAAATACTTCGAAGAATAATTCTGAGAATACTTCACAGAGTACTTCAAAAAATAACTCACAAAGTAATTCGCAAAATAATTCACAAAATAATTCAAATAATAGTTCAAAAAATAATTCACAGAATACTCCAAAAAATAATTCACAAAGTAGTTCGGAAAGTAATTTAAAAAATACTTCGAAGAATAATTCTGAGAATACTTCACAGAGTACTCCAAAAAATAACTCACAAACTAAATCTGAAAATAATTCACAAAATAATTCAAACAATAGTTCAAAAAATAATTCACAAAGCAATTCGGAAAGTAATTTAAAAAATACTTCGAAGAATAATTCTGAAAATACTTCACAGAGTACTCCAAAAAATAACTCACAAAGTAAATCTGAAAATAATTCACAAAATAATTCGAACAATAGTTCAAAAAATAATTCTGAAAATAATTCACAGAATACTTCAAAAAGTAATTCACAAAGCAGTTCAACAAATAATTCTAAAGATAATTCACAGAGTACTTCAAAAAATAATTCTGTGAGTATTTCTGAAAACAATTTACAAACAAGTTCATTCGGCAATTCATTTACATGGTCTTTTAAGAATGGAAAAATAGAAATTAATGATATTGTAATGTTAGATCCTTTCAAATTAGTTACAATATTACTTGCAGCACGAAGGCAATTTGCTCAAAACCAAACACAATCAAATAAAAAAAATGGAAATATGATACAATATGATTTGATACAAAGAACAGTAAAGAATTCATTAGTATGTATACAGATAAAAATGGCTTCAAAGCATGGCAAGAAATATGTGAGTGTCCCTGATATTTTTAAATTTGATAAAATTTGTGGAGATATGATGTATATGAAAGACGCTAGTATAATTTTACCGCAAGTATTTGAGATAGCTTATTCTCTAGTAGAGTATGTAGGCGGTGTGGAGGTTATTCATGAAGCAGTTTATTTTGTATGGTATTATGTGAAAGAGAGTTTAAAACAAAAATATTACATTGTATCTTCTTTTATGAGTAATCCAAAGATCCAAGCAAACATCAGTTCAATTATAACTGCTCTTTGCGAAAACATGAGTTGTACGGTACAACAATTACTGCCTGCTTTTAAAATGTATTCCAATGCGATAAACTGAGAAGTTTTCAATACATTTAAAAGTATTCAAATATTTTTTCATTATAATTAAAATATACAACGCTGAGCAATCAAATAGACTAACAAAATGAAATCTTTATTGTACATTATAGCGTTTTAGTAATGTCTTTGTATTTATTATTATGAGAACAGCTTTTTATAGAAAGTGCAGGTATTAGCAGAATATTGTACATGTTAATATCACATTTGTGCCTTAAATGAATTGTTCACTACTACTATCACATATTACAACGATCAAAAAATCGTTGAGATAAGAATGATAATTATTTAAAACCGATTAACGTTGTCTAAAAAGGAGGTATTTTTGTAATATAAATAATAACGAATATTGTTATGCCTTAAATTGAACTTAGAATTCTGTAATATCGCATTATTGTGTCTTACATTATCTACATTGATAATGAAATTTATTTATGATTCGTTTATTAACATTTTTATCTGATAACAATTTAATTAATCAAGTTTATACAAACTCAATTCTTTATTGTTAACGACAAGACAATTTATAAATTACGCACAATTAAATAATTTACAAAAAAAAAAAAAAAAATATAAAGGGTATATAAATCTAATAAGAAAAAATATCTTCAAATAAGCTTTTATTTTGCAATTAAATTTTCAATGACATCCGAATAATGACTTTTTATAATCTTTATTATGGAACAAATAATTATTGTACAACAAATAATTAGGATTAATTTTCTTACTAATATCATACATATCATTTTATGCATAATGTAATATTGTACACAAGTCAATAAATAAATATATTTAAATGAATGAATATATATCGCATTGTGAGTAATATAGCCACCTAATTTAAGTTACAGTGTACTTGTTAGTATACGTATTATGTGCTTAAATTATTTAAATCGACGTTTTTCTAACTGATCTACCGAGCATAATGTAACCAGTTAGAGGATTCTAGAACTGGCTTCATTTAGAATTTCATTTGCAGCGTTATCTCTGCTTTTATCCATCTAATTTATTAGTGATTAAATGTCTGGCTGTTACGTTTTATAATTTAAACGTTTTCGAGATTACTGCACGAGGATTACCTCCACAGGAGGTAAAAGCAACTCGCAGTGCTTCGCGGTGTCCCACAGATGGGGTCACAGGTCCAAGAAATTAACATGCCGATGACCATGGTAAAAATCACAGACAAAGTATGGAACCTGCAGCTACAGAATTAGACCAGCAATTGGAAACAATTTATCTACCATATATTTTACAAACCTGTTTCGTTACAGTGGGATGCTGCGCAAGATTACATTCAAAAGGAACAGCATTGGCAACAGATTAACTATGTCTTCCGATGGAACATTCGAGTGCTGTGCAAGAAGGTCGTGCACGGACAAGCTGGCTAACGTTCCAGAAAGTCGATCAAGCTTTAAGGACCTTATTCGAAATTGATGTGAGCGGTCGCGACCAACCGTGCCATCCATTTACCATCCAACCACGAGTATCTCCTGTCGGTTTTCTTAGCCGGGCTGCCATTCTGTCAGACGATGGTTCAAAACAGATACTTGGCCTAATTCGCGTGGAACTCGTCATACGGGTATCTTACAATTGCACTCGGGTCGAGTATATTAGACATCCACTCGTTAGAAATATTTGATAGAGTCGAGAGCTCTTTCCGAGAGACAGTCATAATTGGTGTACGAAATTGCACCTTTAATTTTTCGTGATGTCATATCCGAATATCACCAGAAACTGGGTCTGCTAGAGTGACTTCTCTAAAATAACCGGTTGTACGCATAAAGAGATATGTCCTATATGCCTCATAATATCGGGTCACGTTCGTGACGCACATTACAGCTGAAATGTAACAAAGCCCGGTAGTTCTAATTGTAATAATCAAGGATTATTAAATCTGAAATATGTCTAACGCTTCATTTGTCGTAACATTGCGATTAGTTAACGCACTTGAAAACGTCATACCACGGAAATAATCCTCCGTAAAATAGATTACGTCAGTATATTACAATTGCAATCATCTCCCAGCATGTTCTATTGGCAAAGTTAAACAGTTTTGTCTCATCCGTTGAAAAGTTTTGACTGGAGGCTGAAGAAGAAACTTGCCAGATAACATTCTATCCTCAAAGGACACGGTCATAGGTTAAGGGTAGCCCTGTTCTTCATTCTTCTTCTTTCTTTCTTCAGCCTACGCTCAGACAAAATACAGGTTCGCGTGGGTGGCGAGCAAATGGAAGCAGCCTCCTGAAGATTGCAAAGGCAATTTTCTTCAACAATGCGGTCCACTATTCTACGCACGATGCGTGCCCTTTCTCTTCAGCATTCACGCGTAAGGGTCGACCACTAGACGACGGAATCCAGTCTCTTTTCTTTTTTCTCTACCGGATACGCCCTTCGTCCTGGCAAAGAGAGCCTCTTGAGCCAGCATCAAGGGACTGAAGGGTTGTGAAAGAAAAAAGAACGGGTCTCAAACGACTCGGTTCAAGGGATGAATTTTTGCGATAATGCTTCATACTTTATATTTTTGAACATTTTTCATTTGTATAATCGTCAAACACGATTTCTTCGTTTACTGAGTCATAACTCATCAGTCGTCATACTGCATAGCAGTGTGATTAGATTATCAGTGACTCACAGTGGATTCTGCTGCGAAGTATCTACGCAGTATGTCGGAAAAATAATTTTTTAAATAGGAAGAAAAGAATTAGTTATTTTGCCAAATTTTTTTTTATTCAAAACACATTCCTTAGATTTTTTTATGTTGTTTTGCGGAATCGCTTCAAACACTGTTGTCACAGCTCCTAGGCTTGAGTAACAGTGTCATAAACTTTTATAGCTAATTTCAGTTTTGGAAAAAGGAAGTAATCACATGGAGATAAGTCAGAATTTGGAGGATGTTGGAACAGACTTGTTTTTTCGTCAAAAATTCATGAACAGTGACAGTTCACATGGTACGTTATCGTGCAACAGAAACCAACTTCCCGGCGCTCGATATTCGGGCCTTACACGAACGATCCTCTTCCACAAATGTTCCATAACACCCAGATAATATTCGCCATTAACATTTTGTCCCTGTGGAACGAATTCCCGAAGTATAATTCCTTTAGAATCGTGAAAGCAAATTAACATTGTCTTCTCGAGGGACTTCTGGAATCGCAGTTTTTTTGATTTTGGAGAGCTTGCTTCCACGTAGCACTTTGGCGCTTTGTTCAAGGTTTATACTTGAAGCACCACGTCTCGTCACTAGTTACAATTGATTCCAGAAATGTACAGTTTCGTCTGGCTGTTTTGATAAGATCCTCGCAATATTCAACGCGAGCAATTTGTTGCGCTTGCCCGTGATTTTGTGACACGGTGACGAAAGGTTCTGTCGCATTAAACGCTATAAGTTTACAATTCGTTGCTCGATTCCAATAATGATTGTTGCGTTTTGTAGGGAAGACTGTTTTCAGATAACATATTTTAATAGATGACGCTAGTAGTTTTCCTTAAATTTAAAAAGTTCTGTTACTTTTCCCACATACTGTGTATATTGTAGAATATCTACGCAGTATAAAAGAAAATATTTTATAAAAATTATTTGCAAAAATAATGTGGATGGAAGATAGTGTTCTGAAATGAAGTACGTGATTTGAAAGATTGAGTATATCAAAGATAAGCGTCACTTAAATTTACATAGTACTTGCAGACGATTAAAAATCGAAATTGCACGCCCGTTTGAAGTCGCGCGAAGAAACGAAAGGAAATGGATTTTCTCCCGTGTACGTTTTTCCTATACAAGAGACAAACGACGACTATGCTTGATGATTGTAGACGCTCCTCTGCTGTATCATAAAGACCTCCACACCCAGAACACTTTCATTTCCACGGTTTCAGATTACAACGTGCAGGTAAAGCACTTTCTTCCTTCAGCGATCGTTTCTTTCGCGAATACTGAAAGTATATGACAGTAAAACACGATTTGCAAAATGTTTCATTTTTATCTTCTCCTGAGTGTACTGTAATTGATTTACCATTATGTGCCTGTTATAATCTCAGTTTTGTGGGATAAGATTTCACAAAATTTTGACAAAGACATGCAATAGAAATTGGCGTGTTAAATATATTTTACACTGATATCTCACCTTTTCACGAAATACTTTGTTACTTTATCAGTGAAATATCCACGAAATTTAGAAATATTTTTTTCACTTAATTTCTAAACTCTCAAATTCCTAAATTTGCAGAACCTCAGAAAATGTCTCCAAATTTTCATAATTTCATATTTCTACGTTTTTCCAGGTCTTGAAAGGCTTTCTGCAAATTCCCTAACTTCCCTAACTGATTTCATAATCGTGTCGTATAGCATTGCCAAACTCTAGTAACTGTATTAACTCCGGAAATACAGGCGTTAGCCAGGTCCTAATTAAACGATGAGAGATATTTTTGCTACTGTGAGGGAAACTCGTTTCATTTTATTGGGGTAGAGTGAATGGTATACCAAATAAATTGCCAGATTAAATTCAGCCTTTTGCTTCTGTGCACAATTACAGTCCACGAATTTTTTCTGTCTGTTTCCGGAATCGAAACAAGAGCGACTGATTCGAGGGACATGGAAGGAGACATCTAATTCGTTTATTTGTTGTGTAAAAGTCGAGTCGTGATTTTTATCAACGCAATCGTAAATTTGAACAATAATGGCAACTACAGGGACAACGTTCATTTTCTACATTATGAGATTTCTGTAATATTACCATTATCATTTTGTTAAATTGAACAACGATTATATACGCGTACAATTTGCAAACCAGAAACCTTCATTATTTTTGTAGCCTTAAATTTTTCAATGATGAATTGATATTTTTGTATATTTAAATTAATGAGAATGAAAGAAAGTAACATTGCATCAAGAATTTTTTGTTGTTATTCAATAGATTTCTTTCAAATGATCTCATTGAATAAAAATAACTTGTGGATATGTACAATGAAAGTTTTGTTAGGTCGTAGTTTGAATAAAACATATTTTGAATATATTCTGTCTAAATTGAAACACTTTTTTCTTTATTGGGCTCAGCAACGAAACCAGACTGTTCGAAGGCTCAGACAGCAAAAAATGTGAGGTGATAAGTTGAAGAGAGTTTCGAAAGGTGTCGATTTATGCTCTCCACTTCGAGGTTTGACGGTCCGTCGAGTTTCACAATTGGCCCACTGGATTTTTATCGCCCGGAGAATTTATTAAAGCTCACAACTCGTATATTCCTGATTTTATCTCGCCTAGCATATAAGTTCGATAGTTATTGTCACCTGTGAAAGAAAGTTTAATTCGGTCAGTTTATGATGTACGGCTGAAATGTATTTCTAGTAAGTGAAGTCAAAATTGATGAAATAAATTGTTTACAGTTTTTAATGAATTCTTTGTACATGGAAAAATTACAAGATTAGCTCTATAACTAATTTATATTATATATTATTAAATGAAATTCACTTTCACTGAATCACTGAAGAACGTTTTCATTCCTTGTAAAAATATACAATATGAAATTAATATATTCTTTATTAATCGTGTATTTCAAATTAAATCTCAGTAAAATTTACTTATGTAGGGAGTAGAGTAAATGAATAAGTTATTAAAGTTATTAAACATTTCATTTAATAAAATTTTGTCAATTATTTGAATTTTAAATTTGAACGAACATTGCGGGCTTCAGCACGTCACTTGGCTGCGCAGTAACTACTGCGCATAGCGATTGCGCATGCTCAGAACGCTGAACGCCTGTTCCCGCGCAAGCGGAAGCCATTACGTGCGAAAGTGACGCGCGCCAAGCGTGTAATTTTGTGTCGTAATAAAAATGTGTTCTGCTGTTGATCCGCATAAATAATCATCCTCTAAATGGTAAGTTATTATATCTTTCAATTACTTGAGTCATGTATAATGTCTACAATAACAGATTTCACGTTGAACATTGTATTTTCCCGAAAATTATCGTATCATTCTTTTTGCTACTCTCAGAGCATTGGGTGTGAAAAAACGCAATCAATTTTGTAAGGAATAAATGTATCATATACAGACATTAATTCTTAAGAGAAATTTCACATTTTACGATGTTTCAAATTTCCTTTCAATTATTTATATTTCGAGACGAGTCAAATCTCTTCTGAGATAAATGAGTCTAACAAATCCAATATTTTATTACATATATTTCAGTGTTGCATGTCTTTGATTTATTTAGCATTCAAGTATTTTTTTTATCTCCTTAAAAGAGTTCTTGTATGAAACTGTTTCTTCTGAATCTCATTTTTCCACACTTCTCTGTAGCACAGTCGCCGGGCAAGAAAAACTAAATGCTTCCTAATGCTCTGAAATGTCGTTTGAAATACCAGCAGTGTGTTAGATCCGTTGAACAAAACAGGATTATGTTTCTCGCTTCGGTGTGAGGTAGAAGAAGATATATATGTCATGTTTGTTCCGACAGGATGCTCAACCATTCACAAAAACATTTCAAAATGGTTCCCCGGACTGATCTACATTTCTAAGCCTCCATCCATCGAGAGAGCGAATTTCTTACATTGATTTTGAAGCGTTTGCAAGCCATCTTGTTTTGCGGAGCTCGAGGAACAGGCAACGGAAGAAACCGCCATTTTGTATTTAAATGGTAAATACGTTGTATCAATCTAGTAATCAGTTATTGAATCAAATTTGTTATGGAATTATTGTGTAATTATTTAATTTAATTTATTTAATAAATAATTAAATTAATTAATATTTATATATATATATATATATATATGTTATAATATTTATATTATATGTTAGGTTAGGTTATATGTTATATGTTATAGTATGTTGTATGTATATGATATTAGTAATTATAATATTTATCATTAATAACAGTAATGTTCTTTTAATTGATTTATTATTTAATTTATTATTAATAATAGTGATAATACTAATAATATTATTATTTAACATAGTAATTAATTAATTTAGTTTAGTGTGTAAATAATAAATATTGTATTTGTATAAATTATTTAACTGTTTTATTTGAAAAATTATTTTTAATTTATTTCAGCAATTACTTATTCTTTAATGATATTTTTTGTGATAATAGTAATAATGTTATTATTTAACATAGTAATTGTTTAATTTAGTTTACTGTGTAAATAATAATTGTTGTATTTGTATAAATTATTTAGCTGTCTTATTTTATTTCAGAAATTACTTATTCTTTAATGGTACTTTTTTTGATAATACTAATAATATTATTAAATTTCGTGTACTGTGTAAATAACAATTGTTGTATTTGTATAAATTATTTAGCTGTCTTATTTTAAAAATTTTTTTTATTATATTTCAGAAATTACTTATTCTTTAATGGAACTTTTTGTTATCACTTTTGTTACTTTTTCAATAATACATCTAAATATTATTAACAACTGTCAATTTCAATTTTCCCAGATGACAGAAACGTAGAAAATGGAATCATCTTGTTCCAAGGTTCAGCGACCAAGGAAGAAGTGCTGACAAGAGTAAAAAGAAAGAGAACATTTCAGCCAGGAGTGGCTTCAAAAGTTCATGCTACACAGACACTCGTTCAACGTGCATTTCACGAGCTGCGAACATCACACAGCCAGGTAAAGAAATAGTTAATTATTCTTATATCTTCTCAGAATCGACAGAGGGGATAAAATTTCTTGCGAACATAACCGAGTAAATAATACGCAGACTTTTCTTCGAGTCCAAGGTTGTTTTGGCTTTTAGCGACGTGCCAGCAAATAAAAACACTCGTAATTAATGAATTTCACGATGAACATTTTTCCCACCGGGGTCAGGGCAAAAACCACCTGTAATTTCATGTGAAAAGAGTTACATGCACCGCAGTTAATTCAACGTCGCGCTTTATGGTTCCGCATTTATGTCGCGACGAGTTTTGTCTCGAGATGGAATAGTAAATTTGCATTCACGGCTCGTCTAGCGAGACATTTTTTTCTCAAATTTCAACTAAAATCGCTGAATACGAGAACTCGAACTTTTTCTGTAATTATAACTTTTTCAAAATTACGATTGGTTTACAGGTTCATGCGAAATGTTTGTTTCGAGCTTCGTGAACTGAAAATCTTTGCAAATTTCTGGACAAAGGTATATTCTTTTGTGACTGTTTTTTAGGAGAGTTGCTATTGTTTCGAGGCAGGACTTTTCACGTTATTTTTAAGAAGGATTATTCCTTGTTTAAAAGAATTTATTATAGTTTTGAGTCAGCGTTAATTTGTTTGTAATGCACAGTTTTTATAAGTTCCAAAATTGGGAGATTCAAAAATTATTAAACTCAAAAATTTCAAAATTCAAAATTTAAAATTCAGAATTACAAAGTCAACAAGAACGATACAAACGAATGATCCTGAATACAATATAAATTGGATAAATGATTGATAATTAAACGTTGTACATGATTAGCTTATGCACTGAAGCCAGATGATCGAGGAAACTGAATTCCCGTGGTAATGATAGCAACTCTCGCTTCGTTCTTTCGCTTCGCTGCCATTTCTTTCAGAGAGATTGCTTCTCTTTTTCCCTTTTTAATTATGCGAATGGACGCGTTCACGTAGCCACGTGAAATTTCACGTTCTTTTTGCGATCACCGGTTCGCTGATGACCGCGAAACCCAGGCCACTGGTTATGCCAGCTTCAATGCGGACCTTTACTACTCGCAGAGTGCTCGGTCGCTGCAGTTTTGTGCATCGACTGCACTCTGCGAGATCATCGACGGTAATAAGCCTGTTTACTCTTCGATACCTCTGCTCTTTTTTATTTTCTTTTCTTATCGACTAACAGTTGTTAACGCGTTTGCACTTCTCCGTATCTACATTTCTATGTTTTTAAATTCGAACATTCACAAATTGCAAATTTGTTATCTGACTGGTTTTTAGGTTGCCCTCGAATTACCATTCGTTTTGAGCATTTTTTCTGTAAAATCAAAAGGTCATAATTGTAATTTATTAGATGCTAACTATTACTGTACATAATATTATTAACACATGTTATCTTGTATTTCCTTTGCTTTGGTCACAGCGGCATGTTCTGTATACATTGATCATACGCTTTATATCTTCGTTATTTTCCTAAATATCTGTAATTCTTTTCAACTCGTATAACGTGGCTGGAGAGTTGTAAACTAGTCTTTTGGTAGGCGGACATTTTTTAGGGCATTCAAATTTCACCTCCAGCGCTATACTCGAGCCTAACGTAAACGCACGGCCCTTAATCGCTCATCACCCACACAATTTGATTATTATCGACAGTAACGAATCAGTTGCTATATCGTTATCAACGTATTTAGTAATAATTTTGCGTGACCTAAGATTTTCCGTATATGACATAATTATGGCCATAAAAGTGAAATTTTCGTACGTGGTAATTCGATGGCCAGGGACTGCAAACATGTGTATACGAAGACTTTTAATTAATTACATTTACATTCAAGTTAAAAAGTGATGAACCCCTTGTATTTTGACGAGTCGTGACGCACGAGTGCGTCGTGTGATCAATTTTACTCGAATTTTGAATATGGTTCAATTTGGAGTTGAAGTCCAATTATAATTTGGGGAGTCAACTATTAAATTATAGCTGTAAAAGTGAAATTGTACATGGTATAATTGCTAGGAACTGCACATTTGTAAGTTTCTGAAGGTGCATGTAAAAATACAGAGTTTTTATACTTTTATATTTTTAAATATAAAATTTTTGTATTTTTCAATTTTCAAAGAATGTTGGATATTTTTAAAGAAATGAATCCAACGGAATTACAGAACGCAATGTTTGCATAAACATTCTTAGTCTCCTAGATATGATAATTTATCGACCAGCGCAAATATGTGAGAAGTGAACTATTCATGCGGGTTTCGCGAGAACACGGCTAAAATTTCTCGTATAAATCAAAACACGAACGGGTTACTGCTACCCCAATGGCTTCTTCCTCTCACGTTTCCTATATCCTTCCTATCTCAAAACATCTCTAACTATCCTTCTCGTTTTCCCCATATCTTGTTCGAATTATACACCGCACTCTGACATTCCCATGGTCAATTAAGTGCGTAATTCAATCAGGGAAACCATCAAGGTGAAATCACTATAACTGATGAACCGAGAATCTGTAATCGAGCTTTCTATTAACGTATACAGGTCGGAACAGTTTTCGGACATTCCTTTGCAGTTTCGGTCATTGGGTGATTTGGTAATTTTGTTATTTGGTAAATTAGTAATTTGGTGGTTTAGGCATTTGGGAATTTGGGAATTTGGGAATTTGGGAATTTAGGAATTT